CTGAGTAACTCGGGGGACGAATTCCAACTCATGATTATGGAGTTATACAAGGAGAGGAGAAAGGTGCTTCTTAAAATTAATCTGCAGAAGACGAAAGTAATGTACAACAACCTCGGAAGAGAGCAGCACTTTGAGATAGGCAATAGTGCACTTCAAATTGTAAAAGAGTATGTCTACTTAGGGCAGGTAACAACCGCGGAGCCGAACCACGAGATTAAAGTAACCAGAAGAATAAGAATGGGGTGGAGCACTTTGGCAAGCACTCTCAAATTATGACAGGTAGATTGCCACTATCCCTCAAGAGGAAGGTATATAACAGCTGTATCTTGCGGGTACTTAGCTACAGAGCAGAAACCTGGAGACTTACAAAGAGGGTTCAGCTTATATTGAGGACGACGCAGTGAGCAATGGAAAGAAAAATGGTAGGTGTAACCTTAAGAGTCAAGAAGAGAGCAGAGTGGATTAGGGAACAAACGGGGGTTAAGGATATTATAGTTGAAATCAAGAAGAGGAAATGGACATGGGCCGGGCATGTAGCGCGTAGATAGGATAACCGCTGGGCATTAAGGGTAACTCACTGGATTCCCAGAAAAGGCAAGCGGGTTAGGGGAAGACAAAAGGTTAGGTGGACAGATGAGATTAAGAAGTTTGCGGGTATAAATTGGCAGCAGCAAGTACAGGACCGATTTAACTGGCGGAACATGAGAGAGGCCTTTGTCCTGCAGTGAATGCAGTCATGCTGCTGATGATGATGATTATCATTGACTAAGTGGTCATCGAATATATTTTCGATTTCAGCTCCTGATACGCTGCGTTCATTTATAGTCAGATTCTCCACACTTGCCCGTGTTGTACCACGGTTCAAAAAAAGGTGGTGCTTCGTCCATAAGGCACAAGTCTTATCTGCGCTGGTTTCTATTTCAGTGCGATATGCATTTGCTGCGATATGCGTTTGCTAATTTCCTTATTTAATTGATTTCTGTATACTTTATATTCTTTTAGAATGTCAGAATTTATATTATGCAGGTCGTCAGTTCGAATTCCCGCTTTTTAATGTTTTACTTTCTTTTTTTTTTTATTGTCATGCTGCAAGAAAATCACGTCGCTGTCTGCGGCGGTTGTTAGACCGCCCTACGATGTGTCTTTCGTGGCGCACTGTCTTTGGTGTCCGGCTTCGGTGCGCATTGCGCTCTTTTTTATTTTCTTCTCTCGGTATTGTTTCAAGTATTGGTACTTGTTTTTAAATGATAATCATGTTCATTCATTAGGGATATAACGATCGACTTTCTTTGACGTCGAACAGGGAATGAAGAACTTTATTGATGACTTCCGATTGATACTGCGCTGGGCGAGCAGATTCTGTTGTACGAGTGTGAATTAACTTTAAGATTGCATTGAACCACCACCCTTGGCAGGGTAGTTATTCATTTGCCTTGATACGGTAGTTGCAACTAATAATTTGTTACACATAATGTGATGTTTCCAAATCAATCCATTCCAACTATTTTTCGTGTCACTGTATAAGGGTCACATATGGGCCGATGCCAAACGTTGTACAGGCCAACATAGAATGTGTTCCAACCTTGAAGGCTGTGTAGTTAGACAGTATGTTTCAGTAAGCCCACAACCACATTACATATGACTAAAATACATGTAGCTCCGACTTCCAGCCTACTTCGCCTGAAATCACACACACAGACTTATTCATGAGATCGAATCGGCTCCTTCAAACAAGGGAATATGCACATCACTTTTGTCCCATGATTGTGTGCTATTGCTATGCAAAGATGAATAGACATTCAAGCTCTCTTCGGTGTAGTAGATACTCGCACGGTGGTGTGTTCTCTGTAGCTATCTTCCCATCGCGAGACGACGCTTGTCCTGCAGGAGCGAAACGTGTTCCGTATTGTTATCGGCGATTAAAATGTGAGCGTGCCAAAGTCGTGGGCATGACCGGTCACCTGGATGCTTTAATTTGCAAGTGTTGGCTGCTGCGGCTGCGGGCTTAGGTGAACCACAAGGTAAGACCGAGTCGATGAAATGAATATGCAAGATTGAGCGTGTATCTAGCATCGTCTATGTATCCTACAATGAGGGAACGCAGCTGTAGGGAGCTTAAACGCAGTCACCTCGCACAGCAGTGAAGAAAAAAAAAAAAACAAAGACTTCTACAATCACTTCAGTTAAAGCACAAACACCTGCACTATGTCGAGGCCCGTCATTATAGGCAGCGTTGTCAAAACAGGCCCCCTCATATTGATTGATTTGTGGGGTTTAACGTCCCAAAAGGCCCCCTCATATTACATCATTATGGCGCTGTATTGATTGCCTCGATGCGGTAGTGTCTGTGCAGGTGCTTTTAATGGTGGGGGTGAAAACTCGCTACACTTGCAGTATGCAGTGGATTTCACAGGGGGGGAAGCTCAGACCAGGGCTCTACAGCAGCTGCCACTCAGGGAACTGGGTCTGTCAGCGAGAACCTCAACTTAGCTGATTGTCCAGGTTCTCGCTGGCCACTAGCTCGTCCCATCGCTCAAATGTCGGATGCTACCTTCAAAATAGGCAACATTACTCAAAACAATATTGAAAGCAGAGAAAAAAGAAAAAGTTCAATTGGTCTGTGCGACTCATGAAGTTGCGCACCAAAAACGACGTATCATGTTACACACCAACAATGTATCCAATGTGCCTCGAAAAATCAACGCGGTAGAGCTGACAACCAGCACAAACAGTGACAAGATTTTCTAGCAAAAAAGTAAAATTACGACTCCTTAGAAGCAGTAACCTCAATATTGATGCATTACTATAAAAAATTATGAATAAAATATAACAACATGAGATTCGAACAGCCAACCTGCGGCATGATCGCAACTCCAACTGCGCATCAACCCACTGCCCCACCAGATTTTTTTTTTTTGCTTTATTGCCTGTTTCCAGACACTATGTACATGAACAATGCCGTAAAGGTCGCAAAAACAAGTGATGGCAGTCCTACTGAATAGACACTAGCTTTATAATTTCTTGAGAGCTGTCAGGGGTTCCACCCTCAACAACCACTCAGGAACAGACTCCTGTGTTTTCGTGAGTTCCACAAATGCCACTATGCAGTCTCGCAAGTACATTCTTGCAGGTCGTGCATCTGAATCACAGTGAAATCCTGCCATACGGGCTCGCCATAAATAGTGGAGGCCTGTTAACATTAAGTCAAATGGCAAACCTCATTTCCAATCGGGAGAAATCTTATACCGTACGGGTGTAGCGGAAATTCCTTTTTGATTGTCCTCTTCAATACATCCCAAAAGTACACTCCCTCCCAGCAATGCAAAAAAAACATGATTAATAGTTTCTGGCTTATCACAAATGAGACAGTCTGACCACCAAGGTAGAAAGACACCCCACTCATCTAGAAATACCTTGACGTGAAGAGTGCCAGTTTGAAGCCCCCCAAAAAAAGGTTTTTGTGGCAGGAGCCACTTGCATTCTTTTAACCTTTTTTAGCATGTTCTGCCCTTAACCTCCACTGTATATGGCCCTGTACATTGAAGGAGGTAAAATTGTATCACAAACATCTCTGTACAGCTTTATGTGTGACACCGAAAATAGGTACTCATTAGAAAATCTGACTGACAAAAAGCGGATACTTAAGATCACCTCCTTGAAACATCCGCGAACAGCGCCCTTCATGTGGTCTGTGCCAACCATATGCAGGTAAAGCTCTCGTGGGCCTCGGTTGAGAGGGGGGGGGGGGGGGGAGTTGCCGCAAGTTTGTAGTACTCCATCGCGTAGCTGAGTGAGTGTGGGCTTACTGCGCCACCAGAACAGCTATAGGCGATGGCGGCGAAAATGACTACAAATTTACGGCAACGCCCCCCCCCCCCCCCCCTCAATTTTACCATTACACTACGGTAACGAGCCCCATCACCGTAGAAGTGTGGCAGCTTGGGCTAGTTGGTATGACATGACGATAGTTATAGCGCGAGAACAGAACGACGACGCGTCGACGCGTGTCCTTCGTGTCTCTGCGTCGTCGTTCTGTTCTCGCGCTATAACTATCGTCCCTCACCGTAGTCATTGCTTCACATCGACGGGGCCCGTCGCTATAGCTGCATCGCTATTATGACGGGCCACGTCACCGTAATCACAATTACACTACGCTGACGAGTCCCCTCACTTTAACGATAGTACTGCGTTGAGGGGCCCCGTCACTATATTCACTGCCTTCCTTTTCTCTCAACACACCACTACACTGTAACACCACGCAGAGATTATTAACACAAGACATGACATTCGAGAAGCGAGTGACAGAGCAAAGCAGTCGCCATGTTTTTGTGAACAGTCCACACGTGCGACCGGTGGTGGAGCACCATATATAAACGCCCATCCACCGGCCGCACACGAGTCGATGGGCGTTTGTATATGGTGCTCCACTCCAATCCCTGCACCTTATTCTCAGTGAAATTGAAAACTTGAGTGCATAGAGCGTAAAAATGCGCATACGCATTTATATACGCCAACTCTACGTTAACTAACGTATAATGAATAGCTGTTACAGTCCTGAAACGTATAACGCTTAAATTTTGCAGCACTGAAGCAAAGAATACTTATGGGCTGGTTTCCTTTGCTACACAGTATTAATGAGAATGCAGCCTTGAAGAAGACAAGTTAGTTAGTCGAAACGTGTGTATGTACTACGTCGGCTTCAGCGACCCGTGATCACGAATTTTGCATCTCTTTAAGCTTTTATCTTCCATTGAAGTCGAAACTCAAAGCTTTTTAGCGCATATATGAAACGTTCATGGTTTGATCGGTACCACTTACCGGCAACTTCTATCGAGACATCACCAACTGTGCACGAAATGCACGGCCAAGCCTCCAAGGTGCTTAAGGGCTTCGGATCAACGCCATGAACGCCCGTACTAGGTAGCAGAATTCTCAGTTCTGAGGACGGAAATTCCCCGTGAGCGCGTCACCTACCCAGCCTTGGTTCCCTATTGCTGAAAGGGGATAATTTCATGAGATCTCGCATTCGAGTCCGTCCTCGTCTCGCGGTAGAAGAATGGTCGAAAGCGGTTGTAAAATGCCTGCTGGGGAGGCGTATTGGCGACTTAGTAGGATGATCTTCGTTTACACAAGTGAGGGTGAGGTATAAGTTTCCTTATATAGACCGCTAACCATTAACGAAATATATGTTGAACTTGGTGGAACATATGAGACATGCTAACCCTAGAAGTAGGTTGACAATACATCGTGTTCGTGTCGTCCTCTCTCGCCATATCATGAGTATCTCGGGTACCTACCGCAGTTCGCGTGCTGCAGCGCGGTGATGTGGGGTTGTCATCTGTTGCTGTGCGCGATGTTGAAAATTAAGCAGTGTGTTTTTTTTTTGTGTGTTGTATTTCGAAGCGCTCATCGGACCTGTCAACACCTCGATCGTTCACTCGATACGCGACTATAAGATCAAGTGGCGTGTCACGTCGGCTCATCGCGATTTCCATCAGCAGAGATGACCGCGGACTCCGCGGCTGCCCGCTACGGCCTACGTGGGCACATTACCTTGTTTTCACTACAAATTGCATGGTCCAAGATTAAGTGAAAGCTCAATGTGCCTCAAAGCGCGCAATATTTTACGAGTGGATGAATGCGTAGACGCTCGCATCAAAAACGCGTCGGACGATCTAGAGAAGCCACAGCAGAAAATATAATGATGGGGCCCACGCCACCAAAGACCAAAGTAGTTCATGCAGTTCGAATGCCCAAGTGTTGTAAACAGTGATGATGCTCAGGTTCTTTGATAGGTATTTGTAGAAACAGTCAGCGAAAGAGCCAAACGAATTGTTTGTTTGCGGCTACATGACGCGTGCCGGTAATGCCTATGACTTTTTCTGTCTCATATGTTTTGCCAACTTTTCTTACGTTGTATCTTACTTCCGTTTTTGTGCGCTAATGTACAGTCGCCCCTGAAAATTACGGGGACTATTGTTAGGGAATTAACCAATTGAAGATTAAAAAGAATGGAGTTTTCGAACCGATGTGATTGTATTTCAAACCGCCAGTGAATGGGGTATGTTAAACATACTTCATTCACTGGCGGTTTGAGCGGGCGGTTTTACTGGAGGATGCGAAATGAATTTCTTTCGCGTCCGTTTTTATGGTGTGTTTCAATGCAATCCCGAGACCCCCGCGATCTTCATCACGATTTCAACAGCCTCCCTTGCACGCAGTGGTCGTGGCCAAATTTGTAGGTAATCACGGTAAGCTATCACTGTTTACAGGTAAGATTGCACTTGCCCGTAATGAAGTTACGTCGGAAAACACGAGTATGTTTATCCAAGTCATTTCTGTTTATTGGCGCCAGCCGAACTTTTTAGAGAGTTTTAAGGGAGGATGGAGAACAAAATGTACTGAAAATGTGATTTGTTTGTCACTTTTCATCACTGGGGGATGTGGGTAGGCAGCGGTAGGGGCGCTCGCCCCACCTCAAAGACTTATCCCCCCCCCCCCCCCCCCCCCCCCCCCTATTTCATCTATGCTTGTGATCCACCTCCTGTCACGAATTAGAAAAAATTAAGTGGGGCCACAGTTTTCTCACATAAACAGCATTTATGCTATGACACTATGACAGGGCTTTCGTGCTACTAAAAACAAAACAGTTGGGACCCCCTCTATACGGTGTTACTTCAAGCGGCCGCCTCCACCCCTAAAATGAGTCGCTGGGTCCGCCGTGGGTTATCATAGCACGATATTCCCGTATTACTGACAAGTGCTTACACGAAGTGGCGCGTTTTTACGCGCAGTGAAAGCAATTATATATAAATGGCCCCAAACACGGCCGGGCCCATGACTGAACCGTGGCAACTCAAACTTTGAATGGCGTTTTCTCCAAACATTACTTTTCGTCAGAAAAGGAGCGTTTGAGTCTTTTCTTGTAACCCCTGCAGCTATTTAATAAAAACATTTGTGAATTCTTTATAACTAACATGCGCCTTATGGTGTTGCCACAAGAATTGTATGTTTTTTGCACGAACGTTTTTTTTTTTTCGGGAGAAAACCCGTGTGAAATTCTAGTCATCAAACATCCAAATTTTTATCTGTCATAGCTGTAAAGAATACCCTGGGAGCATGCGATAATGAGAAGAGATTTTACCATTTCACACGTAAAAGCTTTCTCGCAAATCTTCCTTTAAAAAATAGAACAATGATATATTATTTTACTTCTTTAATGGCTTTGTATTTTCTTGCCAAGCTCACGAAACATCTAGAAAATCTCCATTCAAGCAACTTGCAAATTTTTGTGGAGTTTTCTTGAAAAATACGAGAGCGTTGTACACCTATTCATTATGTAATGTCTGTTCACACGCTCTGCTTCCTCCTCGTGGGTCGCAAAATCGACTTGCTTCACCAGCAACTGATAATTGCGTAAACTTGCGTCGCGATGCTGAACTCAGTGGGCACTAGAAAGCGTCATGGCTGTGACATTTTTGCTGTGACGAATGGTATGACAAATGCTGAGAAAAGGGAAAGGACGCAAATTTATGCATTCCCTGTGTGCCACCCCCTGGCTACGCGAATGGTTGCGATGTGAATTTCATTACAATGGTGGCACCACTTTGATGTCTCCATGGGGTGGGTGCTTCATTTTCGGACGCCGAAGTAGATTTAGCGATGGTAAAAAAACAAAGAAAATAAAACTCTTCGTGACAACGTCCCGTTGGCGCAACGTATTACGAAGAAGATATGTGAATGCACTGAATTCATTGCGTGTAATGAAATTTAGAACAACATATTCGATCCCACTTAATTAGGTTGCAATGTGATTATCATCAGTTTCGTACGCTTCCAGGTTTGCACAATTTTTGAACAGGGGAAATTTCACGTAGCACGTTACTGCCTCTCTTCGAGGCTCGAACACAGCTTTTTTTTTTTGCATTATCATGTGTGTATGAACAATGCGCGGCCTGTTTTTTGTACGCTGCAAGCCAAATGGCTCAAGGCACATTGTTCTCGCGAGCCTTCCAACAGCGCGCTTAACCCTTTCGTTACCACGCCTATTCAAATCGTTCGCCGGTGATCGACGCTTTGGATCGCCGATTTCGGCACGTTGAATTTGTTTCTCGTGCCCCCAGCACTTTTTAGTCCATCCACGGAGCTTTCAGAATCAATTTGAATTTGCCCGTTTTGCCAAAGTGATTTTTGAGAGAGCTTTGCGCCAACCATTGTGCATTTGTTGTTGAGAAAATGCACTTGCCTGGCGATCTTGACAGAAGTGCGTGCTCGCCGTGATTATGCTATAGAAACATCAAAGTTCTGTAATTACAAAAACCTTTTGCAAGTCAAATATCAAATTAAGGTGTCAGCTTTGCAGTCGGGCACTGTTGAGCACTAATGATTGCGAGAAACTTATGCCACCTATTCAATAGCGAACTGTAGTTGTGAGTGAGGGAAAATTCATTCTACAAAACATATTTTCCAAGGTCCGCCGCGTGTTTAAAGTGTGAAGGTAGGCTTCTCGGCGAGTTCTTCGCTTGTTTCGTTATAGCGGACACAGGGCCGCACCTAGTGTCGCTCTTATGGCGTCGCCGTCACGCGCGGACGGGGGCATATAACACGCCACTCGAAACCGTCTTGGAACCGCACCTGAAGTGAGTAAGGACGAGCTTGGAGTCCGAGGATGACAGCTTCAAGTTTTATGGCGAGGATGTTTTGCCTGAGACATCCGCGCAGCCCTTCATGGCTTTTGTTTAAGCTGTATCCTCCGCCTGCGTAGCTGCAGACCTCCGTGCACAATCTTATAGCTACTCTGGTTACGCTCGACGTCCCTCCGTCACTGGGGCGTGGCCAGCCGGCTGCAGAGCATCTCCTCTTCGGAAGGAGAGCCCTGACGACGGAGCAGCGCGAAACGTTTTAGAACTGCGCGCCATATTATTCCTGTTCTGATGCGATGCGCAAAAATGCAAAGAAATATGCTTGGATGTATATATTGGAACGCCAACCTATGCGGAGTGACGTGGCTTGGAAAGAGGTGATGCTAGATGAAATAGCGAACTTCATTGGACATCTGTTTTGTAAAGGGATTGTTCACATCACGGGCATGCATCTATATTGAAACATCTGCAGGCTCTTATCGCAAATTAACGAGAATTTAACGAGAAAAGTATACGAGTTTACTTGTGTCTAACAAAAAACAAAGCAATGCTTCACCGCATGTCAGTAGCAATGCACTTCGCTTCCTTATTTTGCGTTTTTGTATGTGAATAGAAACATTTGGTACTAAATTTACTATTTTTCATACTGTTCCTGGGTCATTGACCTTGAAAACGTATATTCTGAATTTTGTTTGTTCTGAAAATTTTTGCATGCATAGTGTTTTTTTATTGCGCTGCTTACCAGCTGGCGACCTAAAATTTCACACTTTTATTCATTCCAAAGTATTTTTGTTACTCGAGAACATATATTTTTCGAAAAAGCATTTAATTATGAAAACTTTGGTATGCTGCAATGCGTGCTCGAGTACATTTCAGACTGACAAAAAGTATTTTCCCGAGACATGAAAAACGCCAGGCTAGCGCGGGACGCGCAGCACAGTCACAGCGAAAGCTATAGAAGAGCAGCCTTTCACAGCCTTTTCTTAAACACTCTTTTGGTAACTGCTATAAGCACACTGCTGGGTATACCCACTATGCCATAAATAATTATAATTTTTGTGTAGTAGGCTAGCACTCACTGTGTATCCCGCATACCTACCAAGTCTCCCAGATTGGCTGGGGGACTCCCGGATTTCGACCCTTTCTTCCGTTTGTACGGTTTGTCATGAAAATATCCCGGAAATCGAAATTTCTGGGCGTGGTCTGGCCGCAGTGACAAAAACGCAGCTCGATCCGCTCCATGGGCTTTTCGAAGCTGCCCCGTTTAATTAAAAATGAGTTTAACAAGCGTTCATCTGAACGTACAGTAGAATCTCAGTGATTCGAAACCGCGGCAGATACGAATTCGTGAAATCCCCCATCCAAATTCCACTGTGTTCATTGGGCCTCGATTCGAATGGACACATTTCCTAATCGCGGCGGGTGATACGAACCTCGTACGGAAACCCTCGAACGAAGGCCGAGAGCAGCGTACTCGAAGGTTCGAAAGTACTCGT